TATGCCTTGGGGTCCCCTTGGTTCGGCTGACTAAGGGAGGCCACTTTTTGTACTTCAGACTGAGGGAAGCACACCAAGTTCTTGAACTGAGTCAAGTACCCTCAAGGGCTACTAGGTCTGTGTTTCCCAGGGGGCACAGACCCAAGATCACTCCAGACCCTGGGTGGTGGTGGCCCTACCCCCAGGCTAGAGGGTGTGCTCCAGGAAGGGGGTCGGCTAGATGTGAGGCACCCCCAGGGAGGCACTTGGAGCCTGGAAGGTGGTCGGGCGCAGTGAGGTGGGTGTCTCCGCGCAGGAGCACCCCCTACTGGCTCGCCACACTGGAGCCCAGCTTTTCAGCCTAGTGACACCCTGAATTATAAGGCATCAAGTAGCAGACATGATGATCTATTTATTCTGAGAATGGGAATATAAACCTGGCCTTGGTGAAGGGCATTTTGAATTTCAAAGGGTGGGTAAATACTGACACAAGAGTAGGAAAATTTAACAGCTGAGTTACAGCGTGCTTTAGGAACAAAGTTATTGTGTTGATGTCACATTTCCATATTCAAGATGTCACTGTGGATACTGTATCAGTATAATGAACTGGGCCAGTGCCCAATGAAAACAATGGTAAAAGCTTCCTATTGACCTAGTGGGGTTTGGGTCAGGCCACATAACTCCCATTCTGGCAAACTGCCTCATGTTTGTGCATTAGATTCTTCAGGGCCTTACTGTGCACCACAGATCAAGTCAGGATACATAATTCTGATTGCCTGACTGACTTTGTTCCGCTCTCCTTGGCCATGACCCATGAAGGAAAATAGGGATTTAAAAATATCCTGCCCAAGGACACAACAGCCAAGGTTTCAGTCCATCAGGGATTTTAACACAGTATAGAAACTAGTAGCACATTCACTGGAAGGAATTTTGAAAATATATTCTTCTTCTGTAGACCTACAACCTAATGCGTATGAAATTGATGAATTCCTTTGTGTGATGCTGCTTGGCTTTTTCAATTTCTTCCTAACATCCAGGTTCTCTTGCATTGCCATTTGCCAAACAACACAGACAGTGAACAGTTTTTTCTAGAATTACTGTTTTTCAATGACAGAAGAATAACTGGGCAGAGAGAGAGACACCTGCGCTTATTAAGACCTGGGTCCTTCCAACTCTACCTGGGTCTATGTCTGAATCATTGGGGTCAAAAGCATCGTCTTCTGTGAAAGGACGAAGGCAGCTCTGTCTGTCTCCAAAGACCCGCCTATTCCTTCTTGCAGGTAATGTACCATCTAAAAGGTAACAGTATGTATTAGTTGTCTTACTCTATTGAATAAAGACAGCAAACCAGCTTAGGTCTCAATGAGATGTAGACACTGGGAACAGAAGTGTTGACAGCTCTTACATGTCAGCAACAACATTTATTTTATGCATGGACCTAAACAGAGGCCAACAGACTCCAAAGATTACAGAGTTGAATCTGTGGCTAAGTCGGAAATGGAACTCTCATGTTCGCTTATTTCCACTTCCTTGCTTTATTTAAATCACTAGACCCCCTTATTTGCCCAGTGACTGCATTCTTTTTAACAGGAATTCACCCCAACCAGGAATTCAGCCCTCCATCAGCTGTGTGCATTAGCAGATACATAAAAGTCCTGTGTCTAAAGCAGTACAGCTAGAGCTTGCATGACACCTGTGGCAATGTGGGCCTGAGACATCTGTGCTCACCTGATGTCTCTGCATCCACCCCACTGTCATCAGCCACTTTGAGAAAGATCTGAAAGGCAAAGAGAGGTTACAGTGGAAACCAGAAATGATACATGACAGCAGTTATGGGCTGGCAGAGATAATGTGGGAGATCCTAAGATTGCCAGGGCAGTGGGCAACATGCCAACATGGGAGAGAAGGGTCATGGTATTTGTTCCCTGGATGAGAGTGACTGGGGGAAATGGGGGGACTTCATGGGACACTGCTTTGCAGCCATGACTATAGTGCAATTAGTGACACCTGACCACTTACCAACAAAATGTGCCCCCTAGAATTCTGATCATGGAGTTTGGGGAGCTATTTTTTGCTAACAGCACATGTGCTCTCTTAATTCTCATGGATGATGGCATGCAACACCCATGTTCATGTACATTATGAACTTTTTTATTTCTAGCACTGTTAACCTGATAGAGCCACCATTAACTCTCAAGCACAATTAAGCAGAGTTAGTGCTGACTGTAATCTTCATCTCTTTGCAATGAAGAGGCAGGCATGAAATAATACCCTTAGGTCAGGGGTGGCCAATTATTTAGGCCCATGGGCCATACAGGGAGTGTTGAGGAGCTGTTGCAGGCTGGGCCAGCACCTGCCCCTCTGTGCAAAACCTCACCAAACCTCCCTACGTGGGATGGGGCTGTGGACAGAGGAGGAGCTGGTGTCAGTATGGGCAGGCTGCAACTTCAACAGAGGCAGCTCAGCTGGTCCCCCACCACCACCAATGCCACCTCTGGGCCATCCTTCTACCCCAAGGAGGGGCTGGAGCTGTTGCCAACCTTTGGCATCAGCTCCCCAGGTGCAAAGATGGCAGCAGCCAGGCACAAGCTGCTACTGGGCATTGGGAAAAAGTGGGACCTGGCTGTGGGTGTAGCTTTCTCTCCCTCACTGCTGCCGGAGCCCTTCTCACTGAGGCCGCCTGGAGCCTGAGCTGGGGCTGTCCTGCAGGTCCTTCCTGCTGCCAGGCACCAGGGACCTGGGGCAGCCTGGAAGCAGTGCTGGTGTCAGCAGTAGCAATGGGGAGGAGCCGCAAGGCATCCCTAGTGTGGGCTCTGGACAGCCACAGGAAGAAGGGTCCTGGCAACAGCAAGGAGGAGGTGGCATGCCCGCCGCCAGGTCCCGCTTCTTTCTGGCACCCAGCAGCAGCATCTATCAGGCTGCTGCCATCGTGGGCAGGGGGTGGATGGGGGTGCCTCTCTCTCTCTCCCTCTCTCCCTTTCCACCTGAACTGTCCTGCAGCTACAGCATGCCCTGATCCACAATGGCCTGGCCCCTCCTGTAGCTTACACCAGCTTGCACCCTGCACACCAGAAACAGAGCCAGATGGGGACCAGCACCATCTGTGGATGCTGCCGGCAGATTCCCACTGGAGACCAGGGCATCTGCCTGGGTCCACAGGTGATGCTGGATCTCACAACTTTGTGATTGCCTGCTCATGGGACAGATACAATCAATTGGTAGGTCAGATCCAGCCCACAGGCTGTATTTTGCCCACCCCGTATTAGGGGCTGTAGAACACATTCCTGAGTACAACTCAGAGCAGCTCCAAAGTATCAAGAAGTGCTTCATACAGTAATTTAAAAATATTCAAGATCAGCTCATGGGTGTAGGATGGGTACACCTCAACTGATTACAAAGGATTTATGTCCATATACACCTCCTGCAGATCCAGCTGTTAATTTCTAATGTCTGTCTCTCACGAGCACAAACCTAAATGGGGCAGGGGGAAATAAAACTATTTTCAGACTCCTGCAGATTATAAGCTCAGAGCCACACCAGTTCCAAGGTAGGCAGGCTGCTCAGGGAGATGGGATGACTTTGCCCAGGTCCCCGCAATCATTTGCTTTGCACTTTCTAAGAAGCTTTAGCTCACATACCTCCTCCAAAGTAGTTTCAGAGATGCCGTAACTTGAAATACCCAGGTCAGAGAGGCGGTCATCAATCTCATGGAACAGCTCTACAAAGGCTCCCTCTCTAGCAGCTTCATACGGCAAGACATAAGTAAGTTCATGGCCAATGTCCTCCACCAGCCTGGCCTCAGGAACGTGTTTCATAATGAGGTTGGAAATAGCAGACACATCTGGAGGAACCAAAGTACAAGAACGTGCCTGTGCTGTTATTGTGCACTACTGGTTAGTAAGGAATAAACAGGCTCAGGAACCTCCTTGGGATACATCCCCAGACGGTGCATATCACCATGATTCTGCTGCAGGATCAGATCCAATGGAGCAACAGACTTATACCACATTAGATCCCAGCCCAGCAGCTCTTTTGTAATTACAGCATTTTCGAGACTCTTGGAAACCAAACAACAGTAAAGGAGCCCTACATGCCACACTGTCCTAGCACAACAACAACCTCTACATTTAGACGTTTAGCTTGCTGGGATCCTTTGACCCCAGCTGACTTCCTGCCCCTTGGACAGGGGGCTGGACCCAATGATCTTACGAGCCCTTCCACCCCTAATGTCTATGAAATCTATGAAACCTCTGGGGAATACAAACAGGCTGACAAATGGCATCATCTTCCATGGCCATTAACTCCTGGGCCTGTCTGAACCCCAAATGGCTCATCAGGCAAAATATCCTGATATTTAGCATACTGTGTTCATAACGCTCTAAAAATATTAGCTGGTCAGTCCTTACAACTGCCTCCAAGAGGCTGGTAGGTCAGTGCTATGATCCCCATTTACAGACAGAAGGAACAAAGGCACCATGAGGTTGAGTTGCCCAATAGGTGGGTGAGAGAGGGTCATAGTGTAATCACTTGCAGTCCTTACCGATTGTCAGGGTGTCACTCTCATGGTCGCTGCCAAGCCCAGCATCAGAGCTGCTTTGGGACACGCTGTCATCCTGGTCCAAAAAGAAAAAGTGAAAAGTTATCTACAGCTGGATACCTAGGAAGCCAGCACTATACTGCACTCTCCTTACAACACCCTCTAGAGTGGAACAGCAAAAGAAAGGGTCTAGTATAGGGACTTTTACTATGGTTGGGTGCAGTAAACAGTTGAGATAAAACAGTAGGGCAACGACAGATGCTCGTATTTACTCTATTCAACACCAGAACCAAGTTTCTCAAAGCAGAAACATCCATCTCCATGCTGAAAACAATGATTTTAAGGACACCCTGCAAATGATGCAAGTTTAACCAGATCTAATCTGAAGGGCTGCATGATGTGGGGGGATGTGGGCACAATAGAGGGGAGCAACAGGCTACAGTTGGACCTAGACAGGTTACAAGGATGGGCAGAGGAGAACAGGATGGGGTTTAACACAGACAAGTGTAAGGTGATGCACCTGGGGAGGAACAATCGGCACCATACATACAGGCTGGGGAACTCCCCTCTTGTCAGCACGGAGGTGGAAAAGGATCTGGGAGTCATTATTGACTCCAAGATGAACATGAG